ATGTCCCCTGTGCCACAGCTCCTCAACGACTCCTAGCAAGCTCAGCCAGTGGCTGCCGTCGATAGGGACCAACAACAGCTTCGCAGCACGCGACACAGCAGGACCAAGCGCACACAGCAGCAGACCCAGGACAAGCAGACGTGGGCCCTGGGACCCTGCAGACATGGTGCCTGGCATTTGCTCCTGCCACAGGTTTGCCCTCTCCCATTTACAAGTGGCAAGAACCAATCTTTACACCAAGTTAATGTTTGATTGTGTCAGTCACAAAGACAGCAGGAAGTTCACTTTCAGAGAAAAAGAGGGTGGCGCTTTACTGCGTTTCTTAAGCAACAAAATTCCTTACTCAATCACATTATTGAATGAAAACAGAAAGCAAAATACCTCCAGCACCTTCGGATCCCTTATTTTTTTCAGATCCATAGTATGTCCATGGATCAAGAAAGTGTACCAGAGAGAAAAAAGGACTACGTGGTGAAAAACCAGACTTGCTTTTCAGAAATGAAAGAGAAAGCGTTTTAGAAAGAAAAGAATGTGACATTGCAACCCTGCCTCCGGCCCATGGGAACCTTTAAGATTCCTCCGGTCCATGGGAACCTTTAACCTTCTCCACAGCTCACCAGGGCTCTGACTGACCACTCGCCTCATTTTTTGATTCATTCATCCAACAAGTATTTACTGAGTTGCACACAGCACTGAGTCTTGAGGCTGCAGCAAAGACCACCCTGGATGAGTGCCCGGCCTCCTCAGAGCTCACGCTCCATCAACAGAGACAGAAACAATTTAAATGGAAAAGCAGGGACGTTAGCACTTGTGAAGCATGCTAAGAAGGACATGAATGGGGTGGGGGCAGGAGGGGGGCATGGTAGGGTAGAGAATGACTGGAGAGTATTCTCCAAGGATAGCCCTGTAGGGAGGCAGGAAGAACATTCTGTAAATAGGAAACCAAAATGGATAAGCAAACTAAAGCAAGTTAATTGTACACCAGCCCAAGGTCTGGGAGAAATAAGACACTTCGGGAAATTCTGATGACTGAGTTGAAGGCAAAGGGGAAAGGTGAACAAAAACCACAGTGAGAATTCGTATTTATTGAGCGTGTACTATGTGCCAAGTATTGCACTAAGCACTTCACAACACACCTTATGCAATCCCCTAGAACTATTCTATAAAGGCAGCTACTATTTTTCCCATTTTACAAACAAAGACACTGAGGCTGAGAGAGGCAAAGAGATTTGCTAGAGTCCCATCTTTACTAAGTGGCAGAGCTGAGACCCAGGCCCTGGGTGCCAGTGCCTAGAGTCCCTGCTCTTAACAGCTCCCCGGGGCCTCTAGTAACTCCAGGCAATGGCATGTAAGTCCCTGATTGAAATTTACAACCCATTAGAAGTCAGAAGTAAAGCTGTGATCCCCACAGTCATTACCCAATCAAAGTAAATGTAGAGAAGGCAGATGGCAGGACTTTGAGCCCAAGGAGAATGTGCTCACATAGCGATACCCTGCACCAGCTGGTGCCCCAGGAGACCAGGTGAAGGGTCAGGAAACAAGTATGGTAGTTGCCAAACAGAAATGCTCCCTCTCGAAGAAAGGGCAAAACAAGTGCAGGCAAAACTGAGCCTTTCTCTCTTTTCTTTTGGAAACCTCTGCTGTTCCATACAATCCCAGGATGAAAGTGCAGATCCCAACATTTTGACCATGGACATCACTGGCCACTCATGCTTGGGGATGTGCTTGGAGGGTCATGGGGAAACTGCTAACATTAAAGCTTTGGTGTCCTGTGGGCCATGTTAACAGGGCCTCTCTCATGCCGGTACTTAGAGAAGGTACTTAAAGTCCTTTTTCCCTGGACCACCATCCTTTCTCAACAGACCTCCAGCCTCTCACGTGCATGCACATGTGCACACACACAGACACACTCAAGATCTTCCCCACCTCAAAGCACTGTTCATTCTTTAGGACCAAGATTCTGGGTGAGTAGAAAACACACAGCAATGCTTCTGCTCTTCGGCATGCCCTTATCTGCAATTTCGAAATTTACAGTCCAATTTAAATTTTAAGGGTGATAATTCTTCCAAAGTCCCAACATCATGAGAGTTCATCTATAGATTACATAGCAACAAAGAGGCTGTAAATACACAGTCACCACTGTAATGGTTTTATGACTTTCCTGCATCACGCAAAGCCTCTTTGAAGTCACCGTACACCTGGATGGTCTGGGGCCATGACTCTGCCCCTGACCAGAGAATGTTTACTAATCTGAATAGCAGACAATCTACATTCACTCTCACGAATGACTGAGAACCCTATTAAGCAATCCAATAAAGCTTTTGGCTTGGAACCTGAGCAGACCTGACACTCAAAATCCATTGCTAACTCCCTCATTCACCAAAAATTTATGAAACATGTGAGCCCATCATCTGTCAGGCACTATGCTAGGAGCTGGGGCCAGAAACCTAAGTTAGAAACAGTCCTTCCCTCTAAGGAGGGGTTCAGTGGGCAAAGATGGGCAGAGACAAACTCACGACTAGGCAATTACAGGGCAGGGTGAGATGTGCTCTGGTGGTTGAGGAAACAGAACGGGGCATCAACGTGGTCTTGCCTTGGGGGCTACTGAAGAGTGGAGTGTCCACAAAAGTGTTCCTGGAACCCATTAAGAGGTGCTTTCTCTTTAAGTTGAAGCCAGAAGTTAATAGCCCCACAACTCAGCATCCTAGCAGCTACTTTTTTTTTGGCATCTGGCCGGTAGGGGGATCTGAACCCTTGACCTTGGTGTTACAAGTTGGTGCTCTAACCAGCCCCCCTCCTAGTTCCTTTGATCAAATCAGAATAGAGGGCTTGTTACTAAACTAAAGGAGCAACATAAACATGTCCACTGCACTGTGGATCATCTACAGGACCCTCCAGAGGAAACAGAGTTGTCTTCCCTGAATCTCCGCAGCATTTTGTTCTTTTCTGCCTTGTATTCTTCAGCAGTGTGCATATCTGTCCGTGCAACTAGACTACAGATATATACATATATTCCTCAGAGGCAGGGTTTCAGCTTTGGAATCACTCTATCTCTCAGTCAGATGCCAGTCTACAGATTTGAGGACACTAAGCATTCAGTAAATGTTTCTGTATAGATGTGACTTCCTTTTCTCTCTTTGCTCTAGGCCATGTATCCAAGCAAACAAGTGCTCAATCTGGATGAGTCTACCACTGTCTCCCAGACCCAGCTGTCATGGTCCCGTTTCAGAGCCCAGCCCCAGCCTCTAGCTGTTCCCTCTGATTCATGGCATCAGCTGCCCCTGCACTGCCTCACCCTACCAACTTTTCTGGCACCTTGGTCAGTGGCTTCCTAGGGCCCAGAAGGAAAGACTCCTTGGGAACCCCTGGAATGAACCCTAGCCCACCTGTCCAAGTTCATTTCTTCTCTCTAGAACTTTTGCTTGATTCCTCCCTCTGCCCCTTACCCTCCAGCCATTCCAGATCATTTGCCCTCCCCAAAACTTGCTTTGTACTTTCCCAAGTTGCTTTGTAAACTGGACTCTACTCCTGATGAGCTTCCTATTACTGTCTATTGCGTGCCAATCAACTGCCAAGTCTAGGGCTTCCTGTCCAGTCACTCGAGGTGATAAGAACTCAGCAGTTTGTTCTGGTGAGATAAGGCACCCTCTTTAGACCTACCACCCTTTATGATGAAATCCTAGGAAGTTTATTGGTTAATCATTTTCCCCTTAGAACTAAGTGATCTTTATTGATGTGTTGCCTCATAATTTATCAAAGCAAAGAATATAATGTCGGAGAGAGACTAAAGAAAAAAGAGGAGGTGGAGAGAATTCAGACGTCAAGAAATGCCAGAAAGAAAATTATGGTTAGATATAGCAGTTTTAGTGGAAATAATCACTGCATCTCAACTTTACCCACAGCACCACAAACACAACCAGTAGGTTTTAAAGATTTTGATAGAACAGTGATTCTCAAAGTATGGTCCAGGGAACCCTGGGGATTCCCAAGAATTTTTTCAGGGAAATTTTGCAAAGTCAAAACTATTCCTATAATAACGATGCTACTTGACTTTTTCGCTCTGAGTCTGTTATAGGTGTTAGTGGGGTTTTCCAGAGGCTACCTGACGTGTGATACCGCAACAGGTCAAATGCAGAAGCTGACACGAGAAATCTAGCTCTCTGCTATTAAGCCAGATGGTAAAGAGAGATGCAAAAAATGTAAAACGATGCCACTTTGCTCAGTAAAGTTTTTCGTTTTGAAGAACACAGTTTTCGGGTTTACTGTAATTAAATTGGCCAATGAATATTTCTTTTTAATCCTCAGTATTAATCTCTAATGCGGCACGTATGATCGATCTACATCCATTATATAGTTACAAAACAACGAAAGCAAACGGGTGCTGAGACCAAGACGTTTGAGAACAAATGACCCGACTCCTTCAGCCCTCTTTATGGTCACGCTAAACCCACTCTCATCTACTCCTCCCCAGGCTGATATAAAGCCGACTTCTCAGAAAAACGCCTTCTGAGACAGCCAGGTCGCCGAATACTGCTAACTCTGATGATTATCAGTGTCCTCAGCAGTGGTGCATCTTTTATTCCCTGGTAGTGTAGGTCTTCCTGTAGGGTTTTCTGACCATTAGCCACTATCAGGTAGTTAGCAAAGAAGGACAATTCTCTTCCCATGCTGGAGTTGAATGAGCTAGAAGGCTGGTTTCCCCTACATTGAAGTAAATGGTTGCCAGGGAGGTTGCCTGGGAGAGCTTCTAGTCCCAATGTGTTAGGTGGAATCAGCTCTGTGGGTTGGGCCTCTCTGCTGAGGAGAGCCCAGTGGTTTACATCGGTGGGGGGGGAGCGCCACGGAGCCCGCGCTCAGCCTTGGCCAATGAGGTGCGGCCACGTCACAAGGGGCGCCGCTCCGGCGGTCCCCCCTCGCGGGGCGCTCCGGCTCGTGCCTCCGGGCTGCCCCCGCGCCGCGCGCCGTGCCCGTGGCCCGCGGGCCGTGCCCGTCCGGTTAACATGGTGGACTACTACGAAGTGCTGGGCGTGCCCCGGCAGGCCTCGTCTGAGGCCATCAAGAAGGCGTACCGCAAGCTGGCGCTCAAGTGGCACCCCGACAAAAACCCTGAGAACAAGGAGGCGGCGGAGCGGAGATTCAAACAGGTGGCCGAGGCCTACGAGGTGCTGTCGGACGCCAAGAAACGCCAAGTGTACGACCGCTGCGGCGAGGCAGGGGTGAACGGCGGCGGCGCCGGCGGCGGGCCTTTCCAGGACCCCTTCGACTACATCTTCACCTTCCGCGACCCGGTCGAGGTCTTCAGGGAGTTCTTCGGTGGCCAAGACCCCTTTTCATTTGACTTCTTCGGAGACCCGCTTGAGAACATTTTGGGGGGTCGGAGGTGCTCCCGGGGAAGCAGAAGCAGAGGGTCCGCACCCCTTTTCTCCACCTTCAGTGAATTTCAAGCTTTTGGGGGTGGCGGTTCTCCTTTTGATACAGGACTGACTTCCTTTGGTTCCCTGGGGAATGGGGGCCTTTCTTCCTTCAACATGTCCTGTGGTAGTGGTGGCACAGGCAGTTTCAAGTCCGTGTCGACATCCACCGAAATAGTTAATGGGAAAAAAATTACCACCAAGAGAATCATTGAGAATGGGCAAGAGAGGGTGGAAGTGGAAGAAGATGGAGAGTTAAAGTCCCTGACAATAAATGGCAAAGAGCAGTTGCTACACGTTAACACCAAGTAATTCCAGTCCATATTTGACTTAAAGCACATATTGAGGAATAGCAGACATTTTTCTTTTAAGATTGCAGGGGAACTATACTTTCAGAACAGCTGTACCCAAGAATTTATGAACAGTTCATGCCAACGTTTATTTGTTGTTATTGTTGGGACCACACAATAGGACCTCTGTTTGTCTTTAGAACTGTTGTAAATATCTGTATGCACTCTGCTGTTTATTAAACTTAATCCTGAGGCAGACAATGATTATTTCATAGTGCTACGACAAAATGTTCACCACAGCACCTTGAACCTTACCTTTTTCCATTTTGTTTGAAATGTGAGCCAGGTAGTTTGAATCATTTTACTTCAGTTTTTTAGCACATGGTGGTGAAAGATATGATATCAATGTGTGGGGTTTTCAAAAAGTTTATGGAAAGACTTGTATTATCTTTTAATTCCATTTTTCCATGAACTTTTTGAGGTACACTCCTGCTTCTGGTTTAAAGATGACATGTGCTTTTAGTTGCACATGCTGGTGATGTAGGAAGAGTTGACCACTGGTTAAATATAATGTTAAATCTAGGCTTTTAAAAAGAGGTAAGCCTTGTAAAGTGTGTGTATTAGTTTCCTATGGCAGCTGTAACAAATTACCAAAAACTTGGTGGCTTAAAGCAATGCACATTTATTCTCAAAGTTTTGGATGTTAGAAGTCTGAAATCCATTTCACTAGGTTGAAATCAGTGTTAGCAGGAACATGCTCCCTCTGAAGACTAAGGACAAAATATTTAAGTAAATGCCTCAAGGTTACATGGTTGGTTAATGGCATGTTAGGACTACTTAGCCCTGACTTGTTTCTACAACTATGGTAGATCCCGGACATGTTAAAAAGCATTTCCGTAATGTGACACAGAACTATCCCATTGCCATGCATGGGATGTAATCAAACTAGGTTGGCAAAAGCCAGGTTTCACCTGAAATACTGATTGGGTATGGTACCAAACACACATCTGAGAAAGTACTGTTCTGTTGGCACAGTTTATGCCCCGAATGAAGACTTTTCGGGGCATGTTTGCCTTGGGATAGTCCATCACAAAGTGTTCCATCCCCCATGGTCACTTCTGAGGAAAGGTTTGCATACAGCATGACAGCAAAAGGACAACTGAACTAGACAGGCTAAAAATGCAGCATGTTCTTAATTATCTGCAGAAAAGTCACGTGGCCTAAACACATTGTTAACAAACTAGGACTATGTGAGATGGGTTTGGACATGCTTTAGTGTTCTTAGCCCAATCCACACAGAATGACATGCAAACAGTACACAGCAGGAATACGGGATTCAGTCAGCAATGTCCCAACAGGGGAACAAGGGGGCATCTGTTAAAACCACATCAAATGAACAGTCACTGAGGTACCCGGGCAGTTGCTGCTTATATACTAACTGTGCAAGAAGTATCAGAATAAGACTACCAATGCTCTTAAAAAATGAGTTTGTTTACTCGCCAGGCCAGGGAACTCAGGCCAGAAAGGTATTCACTGAGTAGTTTGCTGCAAGAGGGTCTGCTTCTGAAGAAGATGGGATGTCAGGAGTTTTGAAGTGATGGGAAGGAGCAGGCACAGTTTCAAAGTGGTTATGTGTGCTGGAAATCACTACAGAATGAGTGTGTATCTACACAATTGGTTAAAATGATTTCTATTATTCAGTGGTCAGCAAAGAGTCCAGAATACTAGGGTCACTCAGAGGGCATGAATCTTCAGTAGCTCTGGCCAATTTTAACAGTTGAGGGCAAACACAACATTCAGTTTTGATAATCCTGCTGTAAATGGAAAGTTTTCCTTTTACAAAAGTAAAAAGAATTTTATTTTTCAGAATTGAAAATTTCTTTTCAAAATGTCTCAGCTCAAAACAAAACAAAAAACACAACACTGCTATAGGTCTGTATGTGGGTATTAATCTTATGAAAGGGTTTGAGTAGGCTTTTAGAATGGGGGATAAAAAGGGCATTTTCTCTGGTGCACAGATGACAACCTCAAGTCCCCTGCAGTGAATTGCCTCCACGAGTTCACTAGCACTTTCACACAGAGCACACCAGGCAGTGAGAGGCATGTCCCTATCAGCCCCAAGAGACCTAGAGACCTATGGCCCTCTCAGCAGGATCCAAAAATCCAAACAGCCAGATACTTCTGGCTGGAGCTCCACACACAGCTGTTCTTGGTTCAGCTTACCTCACACAATGGAAAGCATTTGGAAGAGATAATGCTCTCTTCAAATAATCACTAAACGGGGGCCGGCCCGGTGGCGCACTGGATAAGTGCGCCGCTTGGGAAGCGCAGCGGTGCTCCCGCCCAGGGGTTCGGATCCCACATACAGACCGGTTCCCGCTCACTGGCTGAGCGACATTCGGATGTGCGCCGCTTGGGAAGCGCAGCGGTGCTCCCGCCCAGGGGTTCGGATCCCACATACAGACCAGTTCCCGCTCACTGGCTGAGCGACGTTCGGATCTCACTGGCTGAGCGAGGCGCGGGAGCAGCACCGAGGGTTGCGATCCCATTGCCAGTCCCCGGTCCGGTACGGGGGCAACACATCGGGTTGCGATCCGTTGCCAGACACGGAAAAAGACAAAAAGACCAAAAAAATAAATAAATAAATAATCACTAAATGATCAATAGATCTTCTTCCCCTCTGATTCCACTCTTCTGTCTCTAAACAGACCTTCCCCATCTTGGGAAATCATTCACCCAACTCTGCTTATCTTTCTAGGAATCTCTCTCTCTCTCTCTCTCCCCCCCTCCCCCCCCCGGGCCATATAGGGATCCAAACCCTTGTCTTGGTTTTATCTTGTGCTCTAAACACTTTCTTGGAATTTCTGATTCCACTTTCTCCTTTGACTTTCTCAGTAACTGCAGATTCCTTTCATTTCCTCTTCACCCACTCTCCTTTAAATCCTCTTAGTATAACTTTAATCAATGACCTCAATACTGAATACATTAGCACTACCTTTATCCCACTCAAAAATAAGCTTTGTTATGGTAGAGTTCTCTATGGGGAGCTCGTTATTAGTTTTTTCCCCCTTAGGGGATGAAGATATTTATGTAAAGCCAGGGAAAGTGTTTCATTCGAGGTATCTATATTTGACAAAATTCAGAAGAATTCTAACTTTGGGACTTTATGAAAACAAAGTTATTTGTGAAGAATGATTATATTCATATTATGGGGGGGTGGAAAGTAACTTAAAGGAAGGAAAAAAGATGAATTTTTAAAAATGTACTTTGAAAGCAGTAAAGAGCAAAATTGATAATGCAGATAATAAAATCGATATAAATATGCTCTTCCAGAGATGCTTTCCCCAAGTGCAGGGGAAAAATAAAGGAGAAAAGTGTTGAAGAGTGAAATGATAGCAACAGAGCCTACAGAATAGAAATCTATGAATGACAGGTGTTCTTAAAGAAGAACTCAGAACAAAAATTTCAAGGGCTTAATAGAGGAAAACCTTCAAGTTTTGAATAAGATCTGAGTTTAACTTTAAGGCTTACTGTCTGTGGTAGACAGAATAATGGCCCCACAAAAGTGTCCACGTCCTCGTCATCATTCACATGATGAATATGTTTACATGGCAAAGGGACTTTGCAGATGTGATTAAATTCAGAGTCTTGAGATGAGCTTATCCTGAATTATCCAGGTGGGTCCAGTATAACCACAAGGGCTCTTACAAGTGAAAGAGGAAGACATGAGAGTCAGACTGAACATGTTACACTGCATCTACATGGAAATGGAAAAGTATCATCAAATTCCAAAAGTAAGCAGGAAAAAGGAAACTTTTTTTAAAAAAAGAAAGGAAACAATAATATAAAAAGAATAATCTTAAACTATGTGAAAGGAATAAGGTCAAGCATATACATTGTGTAACTTGAGAGAATTCTTACATCAAAAGAAACTATCAGATTGGCGTTTTTCAATTTTTTAACTTTTTAAATAAACTTTTCACACACAAAAATTTTAAGTTATAAGAGATGAGGAATACAAAAAATAACAGGAGTAGCAATACTAATATCAGATAAGGTGGATTATATGGGATATCATTAATGATAAAAGCCAACTATGTGAAGAAAATATAAGTCTAAAACCTACATGCACCAATCTAGCAGCTATATGTATAAAGCAAAAACTATTAAAAAATCCAAATACAACTTGAACAAAATTCAGTTATATGGGGATATCTTAAGACATCTCTTTCAGAATTGAGCAGATTAAGTAGAGTGTTTTAAATAGAAAAATTTTAACTATACAACTTTAGGTGCAGTCATGGAAAATTTACGAACATTGATCATATAATAGCCACTAGCTACACATGACTGAGCACTTAAAATTCGGTATCTTAGTCTGTCTTTTTGTTACTATAACAATACCTGAAACTAAGTAATGTATAAATAAAAGAAATTTACTTGGTTTATAATTCTGGAGGCAAGAAAGTCCAAAAAGCATTGAGCCAGCATCTGCTCAGCTTCTGCTAAGGGCTTCCCTGCACCAAATAAATGGCACAAACATGTTTAAGGTCTTCAGGTGACACACCTTGTCCTCCTAGACACTTTTACACTGTAGTAATAATAATGACAGTAGGTAATATTTATTGGGTGCTCACCATTACAACATCAAAGCCAGAATGGTTAGGTCACCTGCCCAAGGTCATCCAACTAGAAAAATGGGAGTAAAGTTTTGAGCCAATGCAGTTAACTCTAAAGAATATATTCATACACAAAAACTAAGAGAAAAGAGCAACCATTACTTTTTAAATTCCTTCCTATTTTTTACAAATCTAATAGATACATATATATTTTATAATAGAATGACCTCATTACATAAAGGGAAAAGAAAATGAAGTAGAAGAGATATCCTTCTAGTAGAAGTACAGAATTAAGAATACAAAAAATATAAAAGATTGTAAGTCATGGAAGTTCATATAAATTAAGTGAATATGACATAAATGGGGCTGAATCCCCTCCCCCAAAAAGATGGCTCATACAATGGATTAAGAAACAAAATCCAGTTCCCAAGAGCTCTACTTCAATTAATCCCCAGTGGTCAGGGTTAATATAAGATGCCTCCAAAATTCATGGTCAAGGAGTAGATCCCACTGTGGAAACTCGGAGTGGGGTGGGGCTGCTTGATGATGTCTCAGGTCCTCCTAAGAAACTGTCTCTTTTTCAACTCGTCTCTTCATCACTGCCCCTTCCTTCACTGGGTTTATAGGTTCACAGTTT